CTCGAAATTGAAAAATTATTCAAAATCTTCTCATGGGATGATAAAAGTAAAAGGTCAAGGAGGTCATCTTTCTCGACTTGAAAACTTCTTCAAAATCTTCACATGGAATGATAAAAGTAAAAGGAAAAGCAGGTCAATTTGTAAATCAAAATTTGGTTGGATTTTTAACAACAAAGTATGTTCTTTTGATTCTTTTTGTAGCTATAAACAGATTATGGCCTCAACATGGTGTCTAACTCACAAGGCCTTTTTTTGTAATAACAATGTTATGATGCCAATAAATGATTGGAAAGCTGTCCTTCACTAGCTTTTTGTTAGGCAGGGGCTTTCTCATCCCCCCGGCCTATTGGATGTTCCTTTTTCCTTTATTCAATATAGATCTAACGTTTCCTATCAAAAGAAGGAAAAAAATATTTGGTCTAGGGGCCTGTCACCTGTGGACTTACATATGTAGAAACGAGACCTTATGACTTGCTTGCACATTTCAATGCTGGTAATGGGAGACTTATCAGATTTTGGGAAACCTCTAGAGGCTTCTATTGACCTAAGTTTTCCCAACTCTATAACACAGTGTTACCCAGCTGAAGAACAACCCAATTTCCAAATCCTGAGATGACTGATGAGGAGAGGAGTGTTTGGAATCTTCATCTCAAAAATAATCTAACAAGAGAAGAGATGTAGAGTTCGCTGGTTTGACGTTCCTTTCTAAACTCTGCAAAATGACAGATGGACTTAAAATCTTGAAACAAAAAAGGAGTGGAAAAGAAAAAGGAGGAGAAATTTCTGTCAAATCCCTTTTTGAACACCTTACTGCAGATTCTTTCAGCCTGCCTACAACTTTAAGTTGAGAATTTGAAAGAGAATTTCCAAAGAATGTGAAAGACTTTCTTTAGAACCTTTGAATTAAGGAAATTTAACACAAATGTTAAGGTACAGAGAAAGTTGTTAAGTTCCCAGCTTTCTCCAGGTTGGTACATTTTGTGCAGAAATCATGTGGAAAAGCAGAACCATCTTTTCCTAAATTGTTTGTTATCTACAAGGCTGTAAAATAATTTGTTCAACAGATTCAACGTCAATGCCCCCAAACACTTAAAAGTTTACTCTAATCTTTCGTGCTCTCAGTTCAAATAAGAAACCAAAATCTTATTGGAAAAAAATGCTATCATAGCCATTCTGGAAAAAGTAAATAAGAGGCTTTCCAGAGATACTTCTAAAGATTTCTGATGATTTTCTAGATCTAACTATTTTTGTGGCTTCAAACTGGTATTATCCAATAGGTCTTTCTAATTTCCCCCTTTTTATTCATACCAATTGAATTGCTTTTTTCGTGAACTCCCTATGTTTTTGAGGAGCTCCTTCTCCCTTTTTGTACTTTAAATAACCTTAAATGAAAAATGTTTTTATAGAAGAAGAGAAAGAAAAAAAAAACAAGAACAACACAGGTATTAGATACCCTACCAACAAAATATTCTACAGTTTTAGCTTCTATCATGAATACAGGTCTTGATCATCCAAATCCATGGTGTTCAATTTTCGTCTCTTTTTAGCTCAGCTGTTCAAATATAGATTACTGAAGCTTTATCCAGTGAACTTTTGAATTTCCTATCCCGAAAATTAGCTCTTGTTGGGCGATAACAAGTCCCGAAACCAGATCAACAGCTAACTTCATCGAATTTAATAATTTACATAAATGTCAGTAAACCCAAGAAACGTACAGTTTAGACTTTGCAAACCGCAAACCATAAAGGTATGAACGAGTATTGCATCGTTGAAACTTTAACTTCTCATCACTTATCTAAAAAATTGAAACGGTCAATGAAAGGGAACATCTCGCGTAATGCACAGTGGAAAAGGATTAAATAAAGAAGTCTAAACAAAACCGCCAATAAGCCAATAATTAAAGCAATAAGTGTGAGATTCTAAGAGGCAGAGGTAGGAGCTAACCAGCCAATGTCTTGTGGCAAAGCAAACGTCCAGTCTGCTAACCCACCATCTCATCCTGAACCAGATATTTCTGCCATCCCCAAGCTTCATGAATCTAAGGAATATGCAGAAGGCGAGCCAAGAAAACAGCAAGACGAGAGTGGCCTGAAGAAACACAGCCTGAGACTGCGTTATCTTCTTGATGGAATCAAAGGAGACTATGGTCTCAGGGAAGCTAACAGCATAGTTCTCGAGCCGGCCTGAAGTGATGGCCGAAGTGCTGCTGAAGAGAACACAGCTGTTTTCTGTACGATTGAGAAGTTGGCCAGGTGGGCAAGCACAGAGGCTGCCATTGAAGCGGAAGCTATTGCTTGGACATGACATTCGCAATCCTTCCCAGATACCCAGAAATCGGAATTACAAAGAGAGAGAGAGAGAGAGAGAGAGAGAAGCTGAAATGGGAAGTGGGGTTTCCGATTCCCAATGCCCGACAATCCGAAATTCGCAGAAGATCTGTCCTTCCAAAGGTTTCAGAACTCAACTTCCGGATCTTTGAGCCACTGTTCGATGCAGAATTTTCCGAGTCCGACCACTGCTAACTTTTGAATGGTAGTTTTGATTTCATAAGGAGAGAGAGTGAACGGATAACCATGGAACAGTAACAGCAGTGGAGGAAACTAAAAACCCATCATGCAGGCGGTAAGAAACTCTGATTCACGTACACCATTTGGTTAATTAGAGAACTGGGGTTATTGGGGAAGTTGTAAAAAACCTAGAAAATGTCTCTGCGTTCCAGATTTTTCTAACGATCCCTTCCTTGTTTTATTCAAACGTCGGCTACAATCTACGAACTGTGGGGACAAATAAAGACAGAGAGAGAGAGAACAAGAACATGTTGGTGGCCGCCTCGTGGGGATTCTCGAGAATCCGTGTTGGAATTGGATTACCTTTTAAATTTCACCTTCCCTTTCTCCCCATTTGATTCTGAATTCTTTTGGGAGTTTGTGGAAAAGGGCCGTCGTAGTTGATGAGCAGGTGAAGAAAAGAATGGTGAGGAGAGATAGAGGAGCTTTCTGAGTTACATTTTTGCTCTCTATCTCTGTAGAACAGTCAATTCTTTCTTCAATTCAAAGGCAAACAACACTGTAAATTGAATTGAAATTGAAGGCTGTGGTGCTCTCTCTCTCTTGGCCATTTCCCATACACAGAAATTTCAACGGTTTGGTTCAAATAATTGTTCATTTCAACAGTGTGAAAGATCGAAGAAGTAAGAAATCTGTGCTTCGGAAACACACAGGTTTGTGAAATCGATCAACTTTCAAGCTCTCTTAGTTTGAAAAATGCTCGAAAGAAATTTTGTGCAAAATTGGAACGTTTGAGCTAAAAATTAGAATAGGGTTAGATTATTGAGCATAGTTTCAATTTGATGTTTCCAATTCTCAAAAATCATTTTTTAATCGTCTTATATCTTCGAATAACCCACACAATCAACTAAGTGAAAGGCATCAACTCATTTCCATGTAAATAAAAATGACAAGTAAAAATGATTTGTGATAATTAAATAAATTTAAAAAATATTACAATGTATATACATTTTTACCGACTCTTAATTTCATTGAATTATTGTTTGTAGAAGTCGTTAAAAAAATATTCTCACGTTCGTTTTAATAAATTATAAAACATATTTGAAATTAAGAAAATTTAACCAAAAAAAAGTTTACATATATTTGGTTTTTTTTTTAATAATATAATTTTTTACAGAGTTGTTCAATCCACTGATAAAGCTTAATTTTGTTCAAAATTTGATTTTGATTTAAATTAATGAATTTTTTTGAAATATTGACATTTTTTTAATTTAATTGTTAAATTAGTGAGTATTGAGCCTGTAAATATTATAATATTCATTATAATAACGTCCAATTCAGTGAAATTGAAAATTAAATATGAAAATTGATGTAGATAGTCAAGTTTCGAGTAAAAATGATTAAAAATTTAAAAATATATATATATAAAGTGGAGCACGTGCCCCACCATTTATCTAGCATGTTATTTCCCTCTCCCTCCCTCCCGTTTGAGTGGAGTGATTTTTCCTCTCTTTTTGGTTCCTCTTCACTCTCTCACGTGATTCACAAGTATTATTATTTTTTAATTTAATAATCAGTCAGTCTCTATAAGAATCAGCCACTTCGACTGATTGAGGATTTGGGATTAGTAAACTGAGAGTGTATTTAGAGAGTATAATTACGTAAAATTGTACAAAATATGAAACAAACATATGGTATCCATCATTCAATTTATTAATATATCCTTTTGTATTTCACCTTAATATTAATTAATTTTTAAAATCCAAAATTATTAATTGGGATGTTACATTTTAAATCCTTTAAATTTTGCTTAATTAGCTTTCCAAAAGTAAAAAATATCAAATCTCCAAAATCTTCAATTATTGAAAAAATTCGAAAACCTTATTCCTCCGATTTTTCTTCTTTCTCTATCGTTATGTTTCCGTTCATTCATTCGTCTCCGACCGTTGTCTATATTCCTTCGTCTCCGGCCACCGTCATCGTTATTCTTCATCGCCGGAACAATCCGTCTAGCTTCTCCTTCGTCTCTGGCCACCCGTCCATTGTTTCTGTCCATTTATCCCAATGTTTTTTTTTGTATTGGCTGCCCATCAACCATTTGAGACTTTCGTTTATCCCGACCATTATCTAGTCGCCGACCAGAAAGTTTGTAGATTATTTGTTTTGTTTGTTAATTGTAGAGGAATATAGTCGTATATACTTGTAGCCAGATATAGATTATATCTCCATATAAGTATATATAGTTTATATCACCATTGTTAAGTGTATGTTGCTTAAGTTTATAGCCGAATATAGTTTATATTTTCATATAAATGAAAAGGTAGCCGGATATAGTTTATATATATATATATATCCATAAAAGTGTATGTTATAATGATTATATTATTGAAATTTGGTCAAAATTTGTAATGAAATGAAAAAATATTTTGTAATAAATTTTATTATTTAGTAGAATATATTAAAGAGAAAATTCGAGGATTATCATAATAATTGAATATTTTGTAATAAATTTTCTTTAGTATAATATATTAATGAGTAAATTAGGGGATTTACTAAGAATGATTGATTTAGGTTCCACAATAATTTAATGTTTACCAAATCAAATTTGGAATATTAATCTTTTGCATTTCAATAAAAGACTAGTTATAATAAATATAAATACAATAAATAAGGGTAAAATCGGAATTAAAATAAAATTCTACCTACAAAAATCTAAAACTGTAAAATTAGAAAATTTTAGACATTTGTGTAAATAAATTTCTAAAACATCCATTTGAAAACATTATCTCTTTTTATTTTCGAAAATTAAATGGACCCATTGATGTTGGTTTTGGTCAGTTTTTTTAAGTTTATTTGTTCACCCCCATCGAGGAAGATAAAATTCAAGAAAGTTAACTGGCCAATTACGTGCATCAATCCGTTTGTTGGAAGCAATTTCCACCTTAAATGTGGTACACGTTGATTGGGTGATTAGAAGTACACATGGCCTTTGTCCATGAGTTTGAAGTTTCCTTACCTCGGTTTCCTTTATACGACCGAGCCGACGTCTTGCGTGGCCGAGCCAACCAAACTCCATGAAGGTCCATTCTCATCTATTTAGATGAACCGCCTAGCTTCACTTAGGCTCAATCCCAGATTCCGACAGGTTCTACGACAATGCATCATGATTCATGGCAACCTTAAAGAGTCGTTAAGGTGTTGTCAGGAAAATTGTTGGAGAAGTTGCCTATAAATAGACTCATTCACTCCATTTTCAATTACACGAATACTATATTTCCTCTTGAGTTTAGTTCAGGCAGCTACTAACTTTCGCATCGGAGTGTGTTCTATTTTGTAGGTCTCCCATCCAATTCATCCTTCGAGCAATTCTCATTATCGAGCTGGGGTTTGCAGTGTTGGTAAATTTTTTGATCAAACACCATCTATACGAGTAGACAATCAAACAAAGTAATAATTAATTAAAATTTGTTAGTTTCAACCAAAACTGCAATAAATATTGGTCCTAGCTACAACGATGGCAAAAACTTGATATGAAAAAATTAATTATACAACCAATCCATATTTTCATAGGCAGACAAGAACAATTTTAAAAGTTCATGAGATGCAATTCTGACAAATGCACTTGTTATTTACTATTATTACGAGGGTTTCAACCTCCAACTTCTATAACAATCAAGATGTGTTAATCGTTGAATTAGAATCATGCCGATGATCGGCAATATCATATAACAATTCGTTGATATGCATTTTAATTTTGCAGTAGTTGCATTTGTTCTTATAGTTGTTATTTTTGTAATGTTGTACCTACGAGTTGAAATATAATTTTGTCCTCCATCTTTAATTTTTTTTAGTGCCCACAATTTTAAATTTGTTTTATTATTTTTCAGTAAAGTTTCTTAATATCTTTTTTAGTTCGTGAACTTAAAAATTAACCACCATTTTATTCTTGATTCTTGAGGTTGACTTTGTTTGATTGTTTAAAATTTAAATAAATGAATAATATGACTTCAGATATGTATAATAGAGTTATATAAGTCGGTTGAGATAGGTGGTGGGTAATAGTTTTATTGAACCTTATGTCACATATGCAATTCCATTGTAATTCAACCTTTAATAAATAAGACACAAATCACCTTAAAAAAAATAAATAAATAAGACACAAATCTTGTCAGAGTCACGTAAGGAAAGAGAACATTTGGTTCAACATAGATCAATGGATAAACACGCATTGTTTTGAGTGGAAGGTTCGATCATTTACCTTTAATTTGTTGAATTAAAGTTAGAGATAAAAGTGAATACTTATTTACAAAAATGTGGGGAAGTAAAAAATTTCCCTAAACTCATAATGTTTTTATCAACATTCAATGTAAATTTTAAAATTAATCAAATTCAACGATGAATTTAACCAAGTGTGTGTAACGTTAAATTTTCACTAAATTCGCCACAAATTTTAACGAAGAGCAAGTAAAAGTCTCCCTAAAAGTACTAATATCAACAAAACTAACGCTCGTATAAAATGAAGCTCAATAAATGCACCTGATCAACCACCGAACAAATCTCTTAAAAAACTATCAACTTTCCACGAAAATTCGAACTATAGTGTCATTCTTCTTTGAAGTCTCGTCAATTTTAACTATACATATATTTGATAGTTCACTAGATAAATAAAAATAGTTTTTTTATAACAAATTTTAACTACAAAAGTAAAAGTTACAACAATTATTCCGGTATACGTTCAACATTACAACATATATTGAAGTATAAGGTTGGATTTCACAAAATTAAAAATTTAGTATAAAAATTGATATGACTTGATAAGTTTACGAATAAACTTGGATTATAGTTCATGATAAATCATACTAAATGATATAACATAAATAAATACTTACTAAAAAAAATCATCACTTTTTGTTTTTTTTTTAATGTCACAAAATGACTTTTGATGATGCTATATGATTGCATAAGTTTGCCATTTATGTCATATTTTTTAAATTGTAAACTTACCAAGATATATGTATACATGTTATTTTGTGCTATTTTTTTGATTACATCGCCTATATTTAGGCCACATTTAGTCCAAATGAATGAAAATCATCTTCGACATTGTTTACTGAAATGTATAGATGAATTGGTGGGACCTACATCATTCATTATTTTGAATGTCCCGCATATTTTTAGTTATTACTTTATAACTTCTAACTTTTATCCTTCTTCTAGAGATCCATGTTTTTTTCAAATTAATTATAATCATCCGACTTTTATTAGTTGACATTAATATCAATAAAGTCGTCAAAATATATTTCATTACTTTTTTTTTAGTAAAATATGTAGGTGTGGGGGATTGAACTCACACCCTTTTGGTTTGAGATATATACCAATTATTGTTAAACTATGCTCGCTTTTGCCAAATATATTTCACTACTGGTAAAAGTTATAACAAAAAAATTTAATAATACTTTATGCTTATTTTAATAAAAATTATAATGTAATTTATTTTAATTATTTATTAGTTGTTAATATGAATTAAATTGGGCAAAATAAGAAAATTACTATAAATAAAGCATAGAAGATGTTTTTTTTGGGTTCCTGTTTACATTTCAGACTGTTTTAGTAAACAACATGAATACGATTTTTTATCATGTAACTATAAAATTTTCTACAAATTATAGGATCCTCATGACAACTTTTCGATTTAAAAAAATAATTAAAGAATAACAAATAACTGAAAAAAAAAATCCAGCGTAATTTAAAGGCATAAATTAAAGAGAGCAAAGGGAAGATATGATGACTCCATAAATTTTTAGTGGTTGAAAAATGTCTACACCGCTCAAATTTCTTATTGGGTATTTTACTACATTGCCCCTATTGCGGATGAGAACCAAGCTAGTCGACCTTTTATGGGTTCAAGAGTAAATCTCTATCGATCATTTTGTAGATTTATAATCAAAATTTGAATAATTGATAAAGAAGATCAATGGTTTTTTTCTCTTTTTCTCAAATAATTGATATGGAACCAGACGAGTTTAGTGAATTTAAATAAAATTGGATTATGACACATGATCATTTAATTTAAGGTTAAAAACAATGAACGATCTAGACTAAAAAGAAAGATGAGTAAGAGAAAAAGAGAAATCTGTGGAGATGAAGATAAATTTTTGAAACTTTAGAATGATTATTGATATGAAGATAATTTTTGTAGAAACAGAGAGAAATTGGTGAGGATTGATAAAGTTTGTGGAAATCGTGGAAATTGAGAATAAACTTAAAAAATTATCAATTCATAATTTATTTGATTTATTCACGTCATTCATTACGTCGGCATAATTGTTGATGTCATGCTACTACAACGTAAGCATAATTTGATCGTTAAATACCACATCACCTGCCACATTAGCAAAGTGTCACACTACTTGCCACATGTCAGCTTCTAATTGTTGAGAATGTCCACATCAATCGCCGCATATAATTTTCTTCCAAACCTTGTTTTGGCCCTTACTTATTCGCTTGGACTTTGATTGAGGTAATTCAAACCACGTTAGAATTGTCTTTTTGAGTTTTATGATATGGACACTTTGAAATACTAAAATATTAATAAATAAATTTTATTATCGTAAAAACATATGGTATGATTAAAGCTTGTAAAATTAACATTAGCAACATCAACCAAGTAAGTAACCTTCCCTCTCGTTTCATTTCAATTATTTATTATTGTAATATATAATGCTCATTGGTCAAAATAACCAAAATTAATTGAGAGCGAATGAGTTCAAATCCCATAATAGTCAAATATTTTACAAATTAATAATTTCTATGTATTTTTCAATACAAAAAATTATAGGATCAACGATTGTCCATGAGATTAATTGAAATGCACCGACACACTAACCCTATTTAGAAAAAAGACAAAAAGAATTATAATAAATAAATGAAACCTTAAAAAGTTGATTATTCGACTTCCTACGCGACTAGATCATTAGGATTACCGAACTAAAAATCCACTTAAAGAAAAGAAAAAAAGAGAAAGAGAATAATAATATTACCGTTTTACCGAATAAAAATCGGACGGCTGTGATATAGCTATGTGGGCCCCGTCTCGTGTAGACGACGGGAGTAAGCAATTTTGCTATGAAACTTTCAGACAGACACGAGCTCTCTACTATTTTCTCCCACTCTTCCATTTCCATCGGCATCGCGCCTCGGCTCCGCTCTTCGTCCTGAGAATCTCTCCAAAACGCATCAAAATCTCTCTACAAATCCGTCTCCATGGAATCCCATACATTTCAGCGCTCTTAGAGTGTATATCTCCGCCTTGAGCTTTGATGGTTCGGTAGGTCTTCGGTATTCTGGTGATTTTCTCACTTGTTGTTGCTCTTCCCGAATTCAGGTTCTTCTAGGTATCCGTTATCGTTTTTGTTTGTTTGTTTCGGTAATCAGTGTGTGTGTGTCTGTGTCACATGTATGCGAATGTGGACTGTGCGTATTTTGGTTGATATTTGATGTTTTTTCTATCGTAGTAGATCAGTATGATGTACATTTGTCGCTTCATATCCGTAATCGTGTTAGTCAGTAATCAATTACTTGTAGTGTGATTTGTCAGTGGCCTAAATTGCACCAAGCACGTGCTGTCCATCACATGATTGGGATGTGGACTGTGAATAGTTTGGATGATCTTAGATGTTTGTCGATCATTGCAGATGAGTGGATTATTTATCTTTTTCCATTTCCTTTTACTTTTTAGTTAATGTGTTCGCGTTTTATTTAAGGGTGGATAAATGAAGTCAGAGGTTGTTCTAGTATTTTGTCTCTGTATTATGTGACATGGGATGAAGCGTGTAGATAATGATGTATTAAACGAACGACTGAGGCAAGGCTCTTTTGTGGCTGCTTTCTTTGCACTCTTATGAAACATTTGTAGTAGAGCTTTAAAGGCGGTGAAGATTATTGGGAAGATTGAACCTAAGGTTCAATGCCTCCTTTTAAGTCTGTGTTTTATGTAACCAAGGATTCTAGTACTTTTTCGTTATCCCTTGTTCTTATCAACGGAGGCTTTCTATATAATGTTTTTTCTTCTTTAAGTCTGTGGATGATCATTGGAGTTATTTTCTATACATGCAGGCTTAATTTTGTTGCTTTAATTAGGTATTTTTGTTGCACTGTTGGTCTTTTGTTTACGAGTTAGGTAGGGCTAGTATAAACCTCAAGTCTCTTTGGTTGATTTGATTTTGTGAGTAACAGGTCTCTACCTATCTGGGCATGGCTCTGTTATTGCACTTCATTTGGATGGGTGTGAGACTTGTATTTTGGTTTCATTAGGATTGGGATGAGAGAATTCTTGCTGATGGGTGGTACTTTGCTTTGTTGGTCTGGGATTGGTCATTTCAGGCTTTTGGGTTCACCTAGCTTGGGCCCGTGAGTGTTTTTCGATATTGGAGGAGGTTCTTGATCGCCCCGTTGAGGGACAGGGGTTGGTTATTGTGGTAGGCAGGAATCTTTGCTGTTCTTTGGGGTTTGTGGAAGGAGAGAAACAACAGGATTTTTAGAGGGGTTGAGAGTTCGGGAAGGATGTCTGGGCTCTTGTTCGCTTTCACATTTTCCTTTGGGCCTCGGTGTCCAGTATCTTGTAATTATCTGTTCGGTGTTCTCCTAAATAAATTGTTATAATGAAAAGTTTGTTTATGTTTATTTATTATTTTTAATTTTTGATAGAAATTATGAAGCCACCTCCTGGAAGGTGATCTATTTGAGGTAAGATAAAGTGAAAGGAAGATATGAAAGGGTTGGAAAAAGGGTATTACTGCTGGCTAGGAAAGTTTTTCAGCAAATAATTCTTGGAGAACTCAAATTATGGGGCTGGTGTATTTTGTTGATTCTTTAGAAGGATTGAGCCATTGAGGAGAGGGAAAAGTGATAGAAATAAAATATTGAAGGAAAATGAAAGGATTTTTGAGGAAAATATGAATGGGGGGATAGATCTGGTTGCTCCAATTAAGGAACAACGTTGTTTCTTCCAAGTTTGGGGGCTCAATTAATTGAATGGTGGATTTTAGTATGGGAAAGAAGGAAAAAGGAAGGGTAAATGAAGAATCACATTCAATAAAGCATTTAAGACTATTGATAGCTCTCTCATTTGTGTACTCGAGATGAGGTTATTTTGATCGGTCAGGAAATTCTAAAGTGAATTTAAGTAGTATTGAAAGATGTATATTTGAAAATTCGAATTCGGAGTAGGACACATAATTAATTGTTGGGAAAGAAGAAGGATGCTTTGAAGGGCAATATTTGACTGTTTGGGGAAGGTGATTCAGTTTCTTCTTTTTTTTTTTTTAAAAAAAAAAGAGGTAATAATTGACACTTTGTATCATTCTATACTCATTTGGTTACATATATTTCGGCATAAATGGAATCTCCAAACTAATAATAGTAAAATTATGATAAATGATAAAAGACTAATAAACTCCTTCGTATATACAATTACACTCCCCTCAAGCTAGAGCATATATGATAATCATGCCTAATTTATTGCAAAGATAACCTATTGTACTCCATTTAAAGCTTTCATAAAAATATCTCCTTACTGCATTCCAATCTTCACATATTTGGTAAATACCCAACTTTACTAAATTTCCTCAGAAGGAACATGACAATCAACTTCAATATATTTAATCTGTTTATGAAATACTGGGTTGGATGAAATATGAAAGCAACTTGTTTGTCTCATCATAGCATAGTTAGGATTGCTATGATTAGAATTGTGGTACTGAAATCTTAGTAAAGAGTTGATGTATGTACGTTATTTCATATCCAAAGCATCCCACAGCTCTAGGAGACTACATTTTTTCTTTGTTTCTTATAAAAAAAAAAGAAAGAAGGAGACTACATTTTGTTTCTTACTCTTTCATGAAACTATATTATTTCCAACAAAAACACAATATCCTAAAGATGTTGAGTAATTAAAAAATTCTAAACTTTCCCTAATCCCTATCCTAGAAAAATAAAAAGAGGCAAAAGAAGACAAAAAGGGAAGAAAAAACTAGGGGTGTAAGCAGTTGAAAGTTTCAAAAGTAATTAAGCAAATCCAAAAATTGGGTATGATATGGTGAAGGTGGATAGAAGGATCATTAAGTCATTTTGTGGAGCTATAAGGAGATAGGGTGTGTTGAGGTTGGAATAAAATTGAAGTATTTTTTTGGAGCTTTATGAATGAGCTCTTTGGTAAGGGTACACGTCTCCTCGTCTATTTTGTTGAGGTCTTCATCCAAAGCTTGCTGGAAAACTCTAAGGAGTGGTCCTGCTGACTATGTATGTTGGGTTTTTTTTTTTGGGTAGCAGTTTTAGTGATATATTGGGGTTACTTTTTTGTGTTTAATTTGTACATTCTTCGGGACATATTTGTATTGCTATCTTTTTTAACTTTCCAAATTTCATATATCAATGTGAAGTTGTATCTTGTTTCAAAAATATTATGCAATGTGGAATTATCCTATACTGTGATGTAATAATGTAATTTTTTTTAATTATCTCTTACTTATTTTTTGTCTTTCCAGGGCTTAAGTACTTCAATACTATCCCATTTAGTTTATTATATATAATCAGTAGTTCAATTCATTATTAATTGGGTTTATGCTGTTGAGTTATAATTTTGGTAGAACCGATACATTGTGAAACCTAAAAGATTGACACCTCCAGTAATTTTCTCTGTGTTTTTGAACAGGATGTTTATTGGGTTGTTTTTTCATTGATTACAGACTGCACAAATTCTGTGGTTTGGTTGAATGTGTGGCCTTTGATTTCCGCACAAGTAACCGAATATATAGAATGCAGAAATGGCTTTAAGAGCAATCTTGCTAAAGAAAAGGCACCTTTTCAGTTCTGAGAATCTGTCTACCAGCTTATATCTAAGGTTGTCCAGATTTGAACTTGGGCAAACATCTCAAGCCGATGATTTACAGAGGTTGGGCTGCATTCCCAGGCCTCCACCTGTAGCTATTGATGGTGGATGTGAAGAGGGCTTAGCTCCCGTTGTTAGGGAGGATCTTTTATCCTTTCCAGCTGCAGAGTTTTTTCGAAGTAGTTTTATAAAACCTCAAATTTTTGGTCATGGATTTGATAGGGGAAAGTCAGCTTCCTGTATGGGTTTTAGATGTGCTTTACAGATTTCACAATATTCTTCCACGGCCACAGCTGGTCAACCTGAATTTGGTGGCAATAATGATAGAAATGAAAAACAAGCTGCTAAGAGGATTAAAGAGCCCTCACCAGAGGAGTGTGATCAAGCAGTTGAAGGTTTGAGTACAGTTAAAGCGCAAGCTAAGCAGATGCAAGAATCCCAAAAAAGTGCTGAATCTTTGATGAAAAGCATATGGGCCAAGCTCCTAGGAATAGGTCCTGCGTTGAGAGTTATTGCTTCTATGAGCAGGTTTTTGACTATTATTCTTCTTGCATCAGTCTGGCTTTTGTTTTCATTAGTCTGAATGAAAAATTCAGTTCCTTAGAAAAAAAGTTATTATCCTTCTTGCATTATGTTTGATCTAAAGTTTGATTCTCATAGTTCATTGAACAATATTATATCATGTAGAGAAGACTGGGCTAAGAAGCTTCGCCATTGGAAGGATGAATTTAAATCTACAATGCAGCACTATTGGTTGGGTACAAAACTTTTATGGGCTGATGTTAGGATCAGCTCGAGGTTATTGGTGAAACTTGCAGGTGGGAAGGGTCTTTCTCGAAGGGAGAGGCAGCAACTCACACGCACCACAGCTGATATTTTCAGGCTAGTTCCTTTTGCAGTTTTTATTATAGTTCCGTTCATGGAGTTCTTATTGCCAGTCTTCCTGAAATTATTTCCCAACATGTTACCATCAACCTTCCAGGACAAGATGAAGGAACAGGTAAATGTTGCAGAACTTGGTGGAGATTGCTAAACCTGTTACTCCAGCACGCAGTTCATTGGCTGTTTTTAGATAATTAGTTTTTGGGCTTCAATTCTTTAAACTTAACTCTCCTACTAATTTTTTTTCCTCTTTTGCTGGTGCTCATACTACATTCATTTTATTGCTGAAATAGATGTGCACATACAAATGATCTTTTCACTATTAAACTATTATTAATAATGCATTTTATGTCGCACATACAATGCCTCTCTTTTGGCACTTGTCTAGATTTTTTGTAATTATCTTTTAGGTCTTATTCTTTTGGACTGAAACTATTGTTATATATTTAGTTCCAGGTTTTGGTTGGTTGTTGTTTTATAGGTTCTTTTTGTATTCTTTCATTTTATTAATGAAAACTCAGCTAGGAAGAATGTCTTCTAGTCTTATATGATAAGTCAGGGATTTGAGATTTGGAATGTATTATGCTGCTGAAGTTGATAATTTTCGGTGCATCATTTTTTTGTTGCCAAATCATTATTGAAGGCTCCCCCCACAGTAAATAGATAAGAATAATGAAAAGTAATTAGTTTCAATAAACATTATATTCCATGTAATTAGGTTAATATCATATTTTGCTTTCCATAACTGTGGTCCTTTTGAACATTATGTTCCCGCTTTATGATTATGGAGAGGGTTAAGGAATCAGTTCTACAGCTTACTTATTGAAAGTGGTCTTTATGATGTAGCGACAGAGTCTTAGACATCTTAGTTGTTAGTTGTGTGAAGCTAAAACTGTATAATCAAAAGACTTTGGGTATGGGCAAAGGAGAGAATTCACGTCTCTTGGAAAAGTCTCTCATGTAGAATTAAAAAAGTTGCCCCATAATTTTTGGACGAAGTTACACTAGAGAGGAAAATATAAAGATATACAACGGAGAATACACCAAACTATTGGCTTGCAATCCAAACTACTATCTTCCATCATTGTTGTAGGATAAGTTGCATCAGCTAGATCATTCATTACTAGCTGTTGACAAATATTTAGCTTTGCCCAAATTACCTCAGTCTGTTGAAGCAAGTTGAGACTTCAATTCTCCTTGCTTTGTTTCCTCTACTATTTGCTTGAGTTTGTGCACCCTTGCTTTATTTTATTTCTTGGGATAAATAAGGTGAACAGCATGCCATTTTTGTTTGGAGGTCGACAAAAAAATGAATTATTTGATATTTGGTTTTATTAAATTTGGGGAACAAATTAAAATCTAAGCGTGTTTGATTCCTAGTGTGTTTGTAGGATCTATGGTCCTGGATTCTTTTTCTGCGCCTCACGAATAACAATTAATTCAACTTACACTTTATAAATAAAAGCTGTAACACCTGTGGCCAAGCATGCAAATGTATTCACTTGCAGTATAGAATTGTCATATGTATGCATAAGGTGGATTCTGTAATTTTTGTGGATGTAATGTCAGTTTTCTCTGTAATTTTATTACTAGATCAGAGATAAAACTAATACATAAAAAATTATGGCAATGGAGGTTGCAATTGGAATGAAGCTGCAAGGGTTTTAGTAATCAGAAAAAAAGGATATATATATATATATATATATATATGTTAAACTTCAAAAAGTGCACATGCATCCCATTGTTAACAGAAAGTTCGATGAAATTAAGGAATTGAGGCAAACACATAGAAATAGCTTCCTTAGGATTCCTAAAAGTACTATTTGCAACCACATTTGAGTCCTAACCACTGGAAAGATGCCCATAACATATTAATATCTTCTGCCACAGAACATCTGATTCTAAGTGAAAATGTCTCAGGCTCTCAGGTCATGATATAACCTAAAAAGATCCTTCTATTATTCCTGACCTCAATTTTATAACATAGTCGAGATTGGCCAAATCTAAAGTCTTTCTTCTTCTTTGAGCTGCTTCCAATTCCAATGTAAATTTCGAAACACTTCCTTAGGATTTAACCATCGTAGTTGAAGTAACATTGATAATGTTTTCCTCTATTAGTTATGTTTTTAAATTTTGTCATTTTCTTATAGCTCTAATGCACTGTCTCATTTCATGACGTATCAGAAGCCAGAGAATGGAAATGACGGGGTTATGAATGTGTGATAATCAAATTTTTTATGTTTTATTTAAAGAAAGGTAAATAATTTTTTATGAGAACTTCATGATGTTTCTTTGGGGAAGGGTGCAATTTTTGGCTTCATTATGGTCTTCAACTTTAAGTAGCTTAAAGAATTTCTCTTTTTATCTTTTTTGAATGAATTAGTTCCAAAAATTAATTGGTGTTCTGACCTTAATACTTGAATTGAAGGAGATGGAACTTTTTGTAACATATGAGTTTTTAGATCTGAAGCTCTGCCTTCTATTATATGAGATAGTGAATAAATCTCTGTCATATGCTCTCTCTCTCTGGATAGCACTGGTCTGATTTTAGTTTCCAACTTTCAGGAGGCATTGAAAAGAAGGCTAAATGCTAGAATAGAATATGCCAAATTTCTTCAGGACACTGTAAAGGAAATGGCCAAGGAAGTTCAGGACTCCAGAAGTGGAGAAATTAAGAAGACAGCGGAAGACCTTGATGAGTTCATGACTAAGGCAAGTAGATTACGTCCTCCATTCCTCAGTGCGTGTTAATTTAATTATCCTATTTTGGCTACTATGGCTGCATGCACCTTGCGCAATGGGGTGTTATATTTTGTTGAATGCTTATCTAGGTCAGAAAGGGTGCTCGTGTTAACAATGATGAAATTTTGGGATTTGCCAAGCTATTCAATGATGAACTTACGTTGGATAACATAAGCAGGTCAATTTTTAGTTTATTAAATTAATTCTTCTATCCTTTAGCTTGTGAATTTTTTTTATACTTACAGTGAACCTACGGTATTTAACAGGCCTCGGTTGGTGAATATGTGCAAATACATGGGTATCAGTCCATTTGGTACTGATGCATATTTGCGCTTTATGCTAAGGAAAAGACTGCAAGAGTAAGAGAGTCCTACCAACATGACATGCATAATTCATCTCTTCTGCATTTTTTTTTATAAGAAACAGAAGATATAATTTCATCTCCTCTGCATTTTATCATTCAGGAACCGTGTTCTTCATAGCTTCGGGTGGATTCCTTTTATCCCCCTCCTTATGTAATTTTGTTCTTTTAGTATGATTTCCGTTTCTTATAAAGAACTCAAGTCCCACATTGGTGCAGGGACTTCTTAGTAACCCAAAAGATTAAAACCCAAAAGTGGTCTTGAAAAATTCCTACAGCTTCCTCTTTACCCCATCAAGAAGGGATTAAAAAAATAGAAACAGAAGAATCTATGTTACAAATTTTGATAAAACAACTTAACATATTGTATTTGATTAATTAAAGTGGAACGTTGTGTGCACCTATTACCCCCCCAAAGTCAATGGTTCAATTCAAAAAAAGAAAAAAACAGAGAGAGAGAGAGGGAGAGAGATAAAGAGCGTGGCATATTGGTGTGCAAGCCCATCAAAGGAATCATAGTTCATAAGAACAAGATCGGACTGAAAACGAAATTTGAATAAGATCTTACTATAAACTTGATGGTTCGGATCATTATTTCTTCACTGTGTAAATTATTCCATTTATTAATTTGTGCAAATTTATTGTCTTTTATTTGGACTCTGTAGTCAACTATATTTTCTTTATTAGAGAGGATGCACTGATGAAATTTGTTGATAAATTTGAAGTCCTATCTTGTTTAGAAAAGGTTAGTAGCTGCCAAAAGTAGCAAGTCATTATATTTTTTGGAGCAATTTCCTCACCATAAAACATTGATTTTTTTATATTTGTCAGGATCAAGAATGATGATAAGATGATTCAGTCTGAGGGGTTGGAATCTCTTTCAGAAGCAGAGCTTCGTCAAGCCTGTAGAGAGCGAGGTTTACTTGGATTACTTTCGGTTGAGGAAATGAGACAACAGGTTTGCATTTTTTCTTGTTTATTTATCAATTTATTAATGATTGGAAGGCTCTTCTTGTTTAGTGCTGGCCACCCCTTGCCCCTATGCTGTACCTTCTCTCTTGACTCTTTCGTACACTGTTTCTTATCCAAAAAAAAAAAAAACCCTTTCCTATGATAATCTATTTCATATCTGGAAATCAAAGTGAAAGTTCATGGTAACCGATCTAAAATTATCCAATATTGTGTTAATTCTTTTTTCTAATTTTGATCTTGATTAGTCATTCTATTTAATTAACAATCAAACATAGTGTTAAAGTAGTAAAGAAATAGATGGATGGAGAGGACACTCCTAGATATTACATAATCAAACTGTTCAATAAGAAAATATCATTAACTTACTTAATACCTAGTACTTCCACGTCAATGCCTTAGCCTTTACTTTCTTCAGTTGAACCATGATTTATTGTAGCTTACATGCTTCCCAACCACGAATTATGGCTTCCACTAATTCCACTGGTTTTATGAAGTTTTTGTTCACAAACAATCTTGAACCATCAATTTAAAATTGTTTGTGGCATTGCTCTTTCTGGAATTTGTGCACAGAACCTTGATGTTAAACATGATAAACCTCTTGAGTCTTGACTCTTCAAATATGTGATCTGCATTGGAAGCATTGAGGTAGGAAAGACGGGGGCAATAATTATCTCTTCACCTTGGATTAGCCTCTGTAAGCCTTTGGAGTATCTGTTTTGGATGTTTGAGACTGACCTCTACGAGTTTTTATTTTTTATTTATTTATTATCATTATTATTATTATTATTATTATTATTATTTTTACCAAAGTTGTCGCAAACTTCACATGTTCAAAGTTGGAATTCATATGTGCTAGTTTTCAAACTTCATTTAAGTTGTTTTGTCCATTTGGTCATAATTTTTTTAACTTAGTTTGACACGTACAAAAATAAATCTCACAGGTGCCAAATTTCATCCACTTTGACTGTTAAGACTTTTTATGTTAACTTTAACTTCTCTAGGCTCACGGGTGCCAAATAATCTTGGGTAGGAATAGTATCTTTTAGTTCTGACATGTAAATTTTTCATTATTTGTTGTAGCTGCGTGATTGGCTGGACTTATCTCTCAACTACTCTGTACCATCTTCCCTCTTGATTCTTTCAAGGTAATTTACATATTTTCTGCATTTTTTTTTAAATAGTAAGATGACATTGAAAATTTTCTTCTAATTGATAACCAATGCAGAGCCTTCTCTGTGTCTGGAAAGGTGAGACCAGAGGAAGCTGTACAAGCAACTCTTTCCTCTCTGCCGGATGAGGTTGTGGATACTGTGGGGGTGACGGCTTTGCCATCTGAAGATACTGTTTCAGAAAGAAGAAGGAAATTGGAGTTCCTAGAAATGCAAGAAGAAATGATAAAGGTTTTTCCTTTTTTCCAGTTATCCTTATGATTACAATTATTATTCCATGAAAATTTCTGGGAGAAGGGACGTTAGCAATATGGTTTGAGGTATTTCCCTTCATCCCATTCTGAGCCTGCAGAGATAGAGTTGTGTGATTTCAAAATTTAAGCCGATTGCTGGCTCAGTATTAATCGAGCTGACTAAAATAATTATCTGAAAAATATTTAAATCAAAGAACATCTTAGGGACAAAATGTTGTTTTAAAATTAGAGATAAAAGATTTCATCCAGCAAGACCTCTGATTTATTCTAAAAAAACGTTAGCTGATGTGTCTCTAGCAAAATCCTGGAAAGAGGAGTGCGGATTCCTTCTTCACTCTAACCTTCTGTTCTCTCCTGAAATAGAACTTCCAAAATGCCTTCTTTATGTGTTAAATAACTCTATTTCTTCTCATGATTGAAGGTTTGATGTTACTAACTGGCTAATTTTTTATGAATTCCCCTACAAGAAGTTGAAACACCATGTTTTTTCCGATCAAAACTATCTAGGTTTATGACTCTTGTTGTATTGAATTAGCTGTTTTAAAAAAAGTTTCTGGCATTTAGATGCTCTTCATAACATATTTGTAGGAGGAAGAAGAAGAAGAAGAAGAGGAGCTGGCTAAGATGCAAGAAACTGCTGGTATTCAGAAGGATGTAGCACTAGAAGAGATGACTAGTCCAACCATTGGAGAGGAACCCAAAGAAAAAACAAAAACAATGGAACAACAAGAGCAGCTATGTGAGCTCAGTCGCGCACTGGCAGTTTTAGCATCAGCATCTGTAAGGATTGAAAATAATTTGTGCTTTGAAGGACTAGATTTATGGCTCCCTTCATTTTCTTTTCTTTTACACACGATATTTTCTTGACTTGCTTTGTTCCACCATGGTTATTCATTTAGTCAGTCAGCAGGGAACGTGAGGAGTTCTTACAGCTTGTAAACAAAGAGGTATAACTTAATATTCATTTCTCCTCGCTGTGTAAGAAAGTATAACATGACGACTTAATGTCAATAGGTTGGCCAAAATTTTATTTTGTGTCTCTAAGATAGCTAAATAGATCTTCAAGACAGAAAGAATGTCATTTTGACGTGAAAAGTCAAGTACATGGCTAATTTCGTGGTTGCTTGTTATTGTCTCCATCTCCACTCTCCAGATAGACCTGTACAACAGCATGGTTAAGAAAGAGGGTACAGATGGTGCGGAAGAAGCAAGAAGGGCTTACAAAGCTGCAAGGGAGGATACCGACCAAGCTGCCGAGTTGACTTTAGGTCGCAAGGTTTCTTCAGCACTAATTAATAGGGTAATAAAATCCTTCATAATTGTATTTCACAAGTTTATTTTGGTCTCTTGATGCTAACCCACAATTGATTGTTTGGCCATTTGCCACATCTTCTCTGCAACTTGCAAAAATCACGATATGAATGTTGTTTTTCAGATTGATACGATGCTTCATAAGCTTGAAAAGGAAATTGATGATGTCGATGCCAAGATTGGGGATCGTTGGCGATTGCTAGACAGGTTATATAATTGCCCTTCTAATTTGATGAGATTCCACATCAGTACCTATCGTGTGTGTCCATCTTAATCATATTTCTTTGCAGGGATTATGATGGCAAAGTGACGCCTGAGGAGGTTGCATCTGCTGCTATGTATCTAAGGGACACCTTGGGCAAGGAGGGAATTCAAGAACTTATCGGCAATCTCTCGAAGGATAGAGGTGCGCGATGTTGTATCGTTTATTACTCATCTACCTGTTTGTTAATGTTTCTTGTCCTTCATAAACAACGTGGGAGTTGGTTTTATGCCACATTAAGGATGAGGGCTTGGGAACCGGTTGTGTGAGGGTTTAAGAATTGGTTTTAACCCGAAGGGGTGTTCAGCTGGTAAGGCCTTGAAATGTTTGGAGATGCTTTGGGGTTTAAGCATTGAAAATTTATGCCCGTTGATAACCATTTCGTTTTTAGTTTTCTATTTTCAACTCACAATTTCTTTAATATGTATTAACATTTCTTAGAAACGCATTTTTACTTTCGGCAAAATTTAAAAAACAAGAACTAAGTTTTTTAAAACTACTTTTTTTTTTAGTTTTCAAAATTTAGCTTAGATTTTGAAAGATGCAAAACAAAAAAATACATGGGTGATAGGTGAAAGTAGTGTTTACAAGCTTATTTTCATAAAACCAAAAACAAAATGGTTATCAAATGGGGCATTAATTTTTTTTTATATTCGGGAGTGTCCGAGTTAGCTTACGCGTACCTCTACTAATCTCACGGGACAACTTCTGACCCTATAACATTCGGCATCGGGAAACACATAGAAAATTAGGAATTACTAATTCCTAAGGTAGGTGACCATCATGGAATTTGAATTCATTCCCTCTTAATTAGCTTAGTCCCTTTGGACCAATGAGCCACCCATGACCAATTTAATTTAAAACTTTTGTCTCTAAGACCAGCCTTAGGCTGGCCGAATCCTCCCTGAGATTAGAAGGGATCGGCCAATGTGTGGGGAGTTAGGCATTTGATACTTGAGAAAATGAAAAATATGAGACATACATGGGTTCAGATGACATGATTAGATTATGATCGGGAACGAAGCGGAGGAAAAAATAACTCTCATAACCCTGATCATTTTTAGCCATATGATTTTCTGTCTCGGTATTTTCGTTAACGAATCTCACACATTGCTACTTTCGCCAATTTTCTTTTGAACAGAAGGAAAGATACTTGTTGAGGACATTGTGAAATTAGGCAGTGCAACAGAAGATTCGGATGCATCCGAAGCAGGAAAGTCATAAAGTTTGGTTGGGGATAGTATATAGTGTTGGCTCATTTCAGCTCTTGGATCGGATAATTAGTCTTGACGTCGATAAGGTTCTTATTCCATTACTTCAATCTCAACAATACAACTGAAATTAAGATTTCACTGAATAAGAAATTCTTTACTGATGCAATTATCAAGTAATTGTTCTTTCGAGGACTGGCCTTTTTCTTGAACAGTATATATATTTGATCAATAAATGTTTTGTTTTGAACAATATTTGATGTTGATGATCTCCCCATTTCGAAATTGTTTCTATTATATTTTCTTAAAATGATCTTTCCCATTTTAGACTTGTAGTAGAAGACCCGTTTGGTAATGTTTTTGTTTCTTAATTTTCGTTCTCTTTTTCAATCTAGGAAAGACCTGCAAGCTGTTTCTTATTTCTTTTTTTTTTTAATGAAAAATAAACCAAAGCATGTTAGGGTACTATTTTTAGTTATTGGTTAGGTAAAATCTTATATGATAATTAATTCTTCAAACGAAATATTTAAAATTTTATGTTCTATTTATTCTTTGATCTTTATTATGTATTTATAAGGAAAAAAATGATAAAAATATGCTTTTACCTATGTTTTTGAAACAATTGGAGATAGCAATGAGAAACCAGAAATGTAGGACCTATTTGGTAACGCTCTTGTTTTGTGTTTTTATTTCTTTTTTTTTAATAAAGAAAATAGAATAGTATGTCTCAACACCTATGGATTCAAGTACGATACAATAATATTTTTATTTATGTTTTAGAACAAGAAATAAGAAACTTGTTTTTATTGTTTTCGAAATTTCTATATAATTTTGAGAATGCTTTTAAAAAACTGAGAAATAAGTTGCATGAATAGTTGCAAGTTTTTGGGTTCTTTAATGAAATATGAAACGTTATCAAACATGTCTATAATTTTTTTATTTCCAAAATAAATGCTTCTTAAAAACCAGAAACATGAGCAGTCTTTTTTTTTTTCTCCCTAAAATGAAAACAAAATATCAAAACACTGAAGCTTTTTCAAGTCAAATTTGATCCTCTCTGCAGCCTGACTGTGTTTGCAAGATGGTCAATAGCTCGATTCCCCTTCCGTTGGTATCATTAAGGCGTCACGTGAGGGATTATATTTATAAAAAATTAGAAACGAGAACATTACAAGAGGAGCCTAAAGTCATCTCATGTTTTTCCTTCCTAATTTTTTTTGTCATTTTAATCCACAAGACTTATTTGAAATGGAGGGTTTAATAATATTTTTTTTTCACGTTCAACAATAATTGTTCATCATAGTATCAATCTTAATTAAGATTTTTTTTACACCTCTATACATTTGAGTATGATACTCACCCGTCACCAACACAAACTTCACGAAATAGAATTCATTCTACTTTGATGATCTATAAAAGATTTGCAATTATGATTGGATCGTGAATATAATATAAGTAAAATTTGTGAACAAAGAGATTATTACTTGAATAAAATAATAAGTTTATTTATCTAATTTGGATATAGTTTAGTGGATAAGACACTTATTATCATCTCAAAATCGATAGTTTGATTCTCTATCCTTGTAATTAAAGAACTAAAGAAAAAATAAATAAAGACATGTGAAAAGCTATTTCATGCCGGGTTTATTACTAAACATGATATCTTAACCTTAATTTTTGGTAAAGTAACTTGAGCCAACAAAAAAAATAGTTTTTTTTTCCCTTTTTTAATTCAATGAGAGTCTCTGACTCTGAGGTTAATTAATTAAAGAGTTTAATTGATTTTTTATTTTATAAGTCTACAATATCTAAGTAGCTTAAAAACTCATGATCTATTATTGGAATAAATTTAATGTTAAAAGATCAAACTAAATTAAATTAAATGTATGATCCATTGTTGGGAAAGATAATTGTAAGCCCTAAGCCTAATAAGAAGGGGGCTTCGACACGTGGCTTCTTAAAGCTTAGTGGGACCTTTGGGTCTTAAGCCCAATGATTGGCCCAACAAATAATCAAATAAGAGACCTTAAAACATGCTCATTTAATTCGTACTTATAAAAGAAGTGTTTTTAGGTAAAAATAGTTTCATCCAAAGTTAACTTATAGTACTAATATATATATACACACACATGTATCAATTTTGACTAAGAATTCAAAAGTAAAATAAAAATACAACACAAAACTAAAAAATAAAATTTGGCTTTCCCCTTTACAACTCATATTTAGTGATTGTACTTTAGTCAACAGCGAAGATTTGATTTAAGCCTTTTATTTGGTACAATATTTTATCTGACTTTTGATTTTTTTTTTTGAGGAAATAAGAAAAAAAAAACAACTTAACTTAATACAAATTCCGAAAAAACTAAATTGTCCAGTCGCTCATCCCTCAGATCGTTTTCCATCGCTCGTCTGGCTAAACCATGGGTCATCTTATTTGCCTCCCGACTGATATGTCTCATTGAAACTATTTCTATATTTTCCATCATCTGCCAAATTTCTTTTAAAAGCGAAATAATTTCAGTTTGATATTGACACTGTCTGTGAAGTAGATGAATCCACGCAATCCCTCGTAGATAGCCATCACCTCTAGGTAAGTAATATTTCTTTCCGTTCTTATAATTCTACAGCCTGCTTTGATGACTTCTCCCTTCTCGTCTCTTAAAATCCAATCAATCCCCCGATGTTTGTAACAGCTCGCCATGCTCCATCCGTATTTACCTTCCATGAATTTGACGTGGGAGGTTACTTTTGATTACTAGAAAGAGACATTATATTTGCATTGGTTTGGAGAATTGGTCATTGAGTATTAATGATTATGGGAGCCATATTTATTAAAATGAAATGACATGTCATCTATATAATTAAAATATTAAGTTATGCTATCTCTCTATAAAATATTAGTATTTTTTAGAAAATATTAAGCTGGACTATTTTTTTAGTGCAACATGTGTAGTTCGTAACTACGATCTTTTGGTTGGAAATAAATATCTTAATAAATTGAACTATATTAGATTCGTAGTTATGCTCTGAGTTAGTTAGACGACATATAATTCAATTCTTAATATTTATGATATTTTTCAATGATTAAATTTAACTTATTAGTGTTAAGTCTAAAAGAATATAATAAAACCATACTACATGTTTTATCGAAGAAAGGATGGTTTGAGATTAATTTACATTTAATTCTTAAATTCTATAGTACTTCATGTTATAATTTTGTTAGTCAATTTTTTTAGTACAACAAGTGGGGTGAGAGGATTCGAACTCACAACTTCATTGTTGGAAATATGCACAAATAACGCTAAACTAAACTTATGTTAGCATAATTGAAATTGCTATATTAGCAAAATAGTATATTTCTCAAACTTTCACATTATTAAGAATTTGATGGTTCATTGAAAAATAAGACTAAATCTTTAAAAATATTAAAAACATATCATATAAACTAATGAGATAATTATATAGGTTAAATTATAAAAGTTAGTTCCGCTTTTTATCATCTCTATATGTACATAATTTTAATTACCATCCAAAAATTTTCGATTTTGATTATAATAAATTCAAATTGTTAAGACGATAATTTAATTGTTGATGTAACGTGATACACTGATATAGGTAAAAAAAAAGGGAGAGTGAGATGAATAATATAACCAACATTTTGGGAATTAACTCTTATTTATGGTTGATTTACTCTTTTTTTACTTTTTGTTAACCCGTAATGCCAAAAATTACTTATTAATTCAATCAATATCGTGTCAAATATTTTTAATAAAAATGTTCTAACAGAGATAACTTCTTGAAATTAAAACGGAAAGTTTACGAAGGTAGGTGAAACTTCGTATAGTTTATAGCCAACAAGATAAATTCTAGTTAAGTAGATGTAATGTGAAAAATATATATTATTTTTGACTAACTATAAGTTAAATGTGATAGGTAACAATAAATTTTTAAGGATAATTTTTACTAAGTTAACATGACAGACAACTAGATAAATTAACGGGTTGTGTGGGATCTGATGTGTCGCACCATCGAAACAACGCGTTGAAGGGTACTCTAAAGAGTCATAAGCAGATGAGGTTGGGAAGCCAAACTCAATTATATTTCAGACGCTGATCCTTATTTCAATATGTTCCGCCATCTTTGAAGTAGCTGGCAACTCCGGGAAGGAAGGTAGCAAAACGCCCATAAAATCTGTGCGAATCCTGTGATTCGAGGATGAATTGACAAGGAGTTGACGACTTTTTCGTCTGGCAATCACCTATAAAAGTAGGGGTACACTATATTCAAAGTACGCATGAATCTCAACTACAACTTTATTTTCCAAATTTCAACTTGAGCATTAGAGTGTTCACTTTCTGTAGGGCAGGTTCGTTGTTTACAAGAACATTCATTTGATCGTTTGGATAGATTTTCTATGCTCAAATATAATGGACATCTTACGTCAACATTTATTTGATGATAATATTTATAATATAAAATTTAAGAATATAAATATAGAAATCGACAAAGTTGAGAAAGAAGTTCGTATGGACTTTATATTCACACATAAATAAGAAGGCTTAAAAAATGACAAAAGGAGGATTATGTTTAGGAAAATCAAAGCTTTCCCAAGACGGCTCTTTCCCGAAGATTTAAAAAATTTGGAACTTTTTTTGGTTGATTTTACTTGCAAGAACCTCAAATATCATACTCAAGAACACCAACCAATCGCGCCTCGACGCGTGTGATCAAGACAGCCCCTTTGGTGTCCAACAGCGGCTTTTTTTACTGTTCGAAAATCTTCAAGCTCCGACCCAGACGCGCTTCTTCAACCTTTCTCTCTCTCTCACCATTACACTCAGATTCCTTCGCTCTCTCTCTCTCTTCAATTTCTGGGTCAACTCGGTCTGATCCGGTTCGCTCACTCTTCTCCTCTCAAGATTCCTTGTTTCCTCCTTCTTCTCCACTTCACCTTCTGCTCGTTTTGTTACCGACTTACCTCGAAGACTTCGCTTGCTGGGATTTCTATTTCTAGCTGATTCTCTATCTGGGTTCTCATTTCCTCGCCGTTTGTTTGTGGGAGTTGTGGTATTCGAGCTTTTGTGGGAAGTGTTTCTGGGAGGCCCACTTCGATTTTGGGAATTGAAGTCTTGATTTTTTGTGGGTTCGAAGTTCTGGGTTTTGTCTTAGCTTGGTATTTGTCGTTTTTGGTTCGTGGGGTTTTGTAGTTGTCGGGTTTTATGTTCGAAATTAGGACGGAATTGTCAAATTTGTGTCTTTAGGGGTGGAAATTGGGTACACTGTTAGTGGTTCGGAATTAGGGTTTCTGTTATAAATTGTATAAATTTTGTTGGTTTAGTTCTCTGTAATTTTTTATGGTGTTTTTGGTGCTGAGAAGATGGTTTTGGGGTCCAACCGTATCTAAGACCTCCTATTGGGCTGAAATTTGAGTTCTTCTGTTGTCCTGCTTGGAGATTTTAATGGGATTTTGCGACTTCGGGAAGGTCTGTGAAACAGTTTATGTGTTGAAGTTAAGGTTTCAGAGGTGAAGTGAAAGATGTTCTATTCTCAATTCATATTGGCCAAGAAAGGGCCGCTTGGGACAATATGGATAGCGGCACATTTGGAGAGGAAGCTGCGAAAAAATCAAGTGGCGGACACTGATATTGGGGTCTCAGTTGGTAAGTTGCTTTTTTTCACTCTATGTTCTTGGTTCTTTCATTTTTCTTTTTCCTTCTTAGACAAACCAAAGCTGCTAGAACATATGATAGAGATACGAGAAGTTACAAAATCAGGCTACTTTTGTTTCTCGAAACAAGTCTGATGTAGTGTAGATGAACTTTACTTGACCAATCCAAATTGCGGTTATTGAATGAAAGTCTGATTCGCGGGTTTCTCTCCAGTCCCCCTATTTAGTACTGTAGTATTCAGTGATACAATTTCTCGTTAGTAAAGCCCAAGAATCTTTTTCTTTGAGGATTTAATTTAGTACTTTTAGGATGCTGTAGTTTCACGGTAATACCTTTTTCTCAGTGGCAAATCTTTCACATCCAGTACCTCTCTTATAAGCTGGAAGGGTAAATTATTTTCTCATCCATAGCTTATTTTCTTATAAGCTGCATTCAGCTATTTTCTACTCTTTGGCGCTCTTTAGAAGGAGTAATCCATTGAACTTGTTGAATTGGACCAAGCTTGACAGACCAAAGATTTTTGTTAGTGGCGAGGGCAAAAATGTTGGGAAAGGCCTTTCTAATGGAGAGTTTAGTTCCCACAAATCATTCTAGAAGCTAATTTTGTTGCCCTTTCTAATCTTACAAAGAGCTCTCCTTCACGAGGTAGGTTTCTTTTTAAATGGCACTCCATGGTTCTTTAAAATTGTCTTTAATCACTGGGCAACAATCCTGGTAAGAGGGCTTGGGGCATCCCGAAAACGTTTGGATCGAACTATGGCTTTCAAATTCAGTTCCGAATGAGTGGATGCTCTTTTTCCTGAAATTGCCAATTCCTAAATCTCCCTTTGATAGAGGGAGCTGCATTTTTTGTCAATTAACCAGGTGCGTTTTGTCATCCAAGTTTGGACCTTTCCAGAGAAAATTTATGATCACTCTTTCTATAAGTTTAGCTGCCCTAACTGTTATATTGAAAAAAGATAGGTAGTAGGGAGATTAGATAAAACTGCCTGGATGATCGTGAGCTTTTTGCCTTTAGAGAGATAAAGGTGGTTCCATTTTTGAAGCTTGTTCTCCACCTTTTCTATGATGGGCAGCTAGAACGATTTGGATCTATACTTCCCGTTTAGAGGGGGGCCCAAATTATCGGAAAGCCAAGAGCCAATATTACGAGCAAAAGTGGTGGCGGACGTAGCAGTATTACATTCCTTCAAATTAACCCCAAGGATTTCAATCTTGCCATAATTTATATTAAGATCAGAGGCTTCCTAAAAAATTTTGATGATCAGAGAGGTTTCTAATGTGTGTTGGATCGTTTGATAGATGAGTTAAGAGCTCATATAAATTTTTGTGTCTTAATGCTTGTCTTAGGACTTATGCTATTTCTATATTTAAGGACGTTAGTCTTCTTTTAAATGAAGGTTTTTGTAACATACAGCAGTGTGTTTTCTGTCTGAATGAAATTAATGTTGGTTATGAGAAGAAATGTCTTACTTGTAAAGTATTGTTTTTAATGCGAGATCATAGTGTGAGTAGTATTTAATATGGCAAAAAACGTTTGTTGATGAGTAACTATTTGCATGTTTCTGTGAACTGGCTGTGTTCTGGGATCTCAGTACTGTGGTAGGATGATTAGAGTTGAATATTAATACAAATATAAGTTTGATGTAGCAAATGATCTGAGACTAAGCTTGAGAGATTTATCTCCCCCAATTTTATAAGCTAGTGCCTTTTGTTTATACGGGAGTATTCACAATGTTATTTAGTTTCAGTAACTTGTATTTTATGATATTATAGTTCAAAAGGTTGCTTGTGTAATGATTTTTTCTTTGTCAACTTTGGGGGTATCTTTCTACTTTTGGAGATTGGACAAAGTTCACCTGTAAATGATAATTTAAGATGCCACTTGATACATTTTTTAAAACACTATTGACTGTGTTTCCCTGGTAGAAAATTACTTGTTTATTAATATATATATATATTTTTTTCGGAACAGATTCAATACTTTTCCCCGATGTGCCGATTGCACTGCGATTGTCCAGCCATCTTCTCCTTGGGGTGGTGAGGATATATTCTAGAAAGGTGAATTACCTATTTGATGATTGTAGTGAAGCTCTGCTTAAGATAAAGCAAGCATTCCGCTCTACTGCTGTTGATTTACCCCCTGAAGAATCTACTGCTCCGTACCATTCTATCACTCTGCCTGAGACTTTTGATCTGGATGATTTTGAGCTTCCAGACAATGAAATTTATCAGGGGTTAGTTTAAGGTTTTTCAGTTATGTTTATACTAAAACCAGCAGCAATATTAACAAAACCATATTTAGCATTCTCCCAGTGAATGACATCTTATTTTGGCTGCAGTAATTATGTTGATCATCACGTTAGTTCTCGGGAGCAAATTACCCTTCAAGATACTATGGAGGGTGTAGTTTACACCACTTCTCAATTTGGCTTGGATGGTTAGTACTCTGTGCTCCATATTTGATGTCATGGTATTTTAGTTAACTTCAATTATGTGCTGATCGGACAAGTTTTAATCTTCTTGGCTATTCAGAGCGTTTTGGTGATGGAGATGCTTCACAACTTGGTTTAGATCTTGATGAGGTAACAGAGTACATGTTTTGTTTTGAATGTATTGTTGGATGACGAAGAATCTTGAGCTGTCAGTTTGCATTTACTAAATGCAGTTTCCTAGATTTTGAGTTTGGAATTTTTTATGATTGAAGCCTTTGGTCTCTAAATAAATTTAGGGATCAAAATAGGAAGAAATTGGTTTTATTTTTAGAGACAGAAACGCCTTTCATTATAAAGAAGAAATGCAGAAGGAAGGATGAGACATCCTAACAAATTCCTTGGAGCTTACATAAAAGCACTCCTATTGGTGCAAATGTCGAAAAAGGAGTAATTGTAGAAAGGTTTAGAGAGAGAGATTCATTTGAGAGGAATAGGACGATGACCCCCTCTTTTCATTCCATTCTTTAGTCTTATGTTGGAAATTTCTTCTAAACTCTTCGAATGGCTTCATATTGAATGATGCCAATTCTTCTGTCACATTCTTCAATATTTCGTATGTTTTCAACAAAATCTTACTACCTTCTGAATCTATTTCTAAGATCGATTTGCTTTGATACCACTTAATAGGCAACCAGTAGAAAATTTCCTTTATTTATGTAGAGAAAAGAGAGAGGAGATTTTCATAGTTCACAGACTTTGAGAGGTCTGTTCTCTCCGCAATACATAACTTGGAGATTCCCTCTTTTCTAACTATTGTGCTTTATATACTATTTACTATTAGTAACTACTCAATGTCTTCCTATTAGTAACTAACCAGTAACTTCTTTCCATAACTCCCTTGTAACTACGAATTCATATCCATATATCCTAGTAACTCCTTTTTTACTACCCATACATATCCATATATCTCAATTCTCCCTTGTAACTCCTGTGTATCCTTCCTTTGATAAGTAAAACGGATTACGGATTGGAGGAGTGATTTGTCATCAATTTTGTTCCATATTAGAAAAAAAAAAGGAGCAAATGTTTAGTATAGCGCTTTTGTTAGTTCTTATTTTTACTTCCCTCCTTCTCCTGCTTTCTTGTTAAATATTTTCCTCCCTCCTGTTTGTTAATTATGTCTCCCCATTTGACAAGCAGGAACTCTTTGTAGAGAAGATCACTATTAAAGGACATGATGAAATTTCAGAGTAAGAATTTTATATCTCTATGCTATTTTAGAGCTACTACCCCCCCGAACAACAACACGCACACATACAAAAGAAGGAAAGGTCTTTTATATAAGAGCAGAATTTCTTATTGAAATTGTCATGGTATTTTACGGTTGGAAGCATTTTATATGGAGTGCTTATAGGTTGTGATTTTTTTGTTTTGTTTTGGTGTGTGTGTGTGGTTACAGTACTGATCCACAGGCCCCTTCTCAATCCACAGTCTTTAAAGACAAGGATGAAAATAATGAGGAAATCCTAGAAACCTTTGAAACGATGCAGGTATGTCAATGGGTTTGGTTAATAATTGACTTATTATCATCTGATGATTGAAGCTTACAATTTTTTCTTTATTCTGTGATAATTTTTTGTTTACACTATTACATTATAGCTTATGTAAACGATAGAATCTATCTATACAAATTGTAACTATTTGAATCCTGAGTTGTTCACAAATTGTAAGTTCGTATGTTGCACAGGGTCCATCATCTACTACAAGACGAGTGGAGGAGTATCACACGTCTAGTGTTCAGGATAGTGATGGTCCTTTGAAAGTGGAAGATCATGGTGTAACGGAACAGGGAGCTGTGGGAACGGAAAATAATGAATCCAGGAAGTCGGATGTTTATGGTGGTAATACCGATGCTTCAGATTGGTCTTCCCATAACGATTTGGATTATGAGACTGTAAGAAGCATGCATCCTGAAGAGAATGGCCATCTTTCTAGTGACCCAGAAAACAAAGATGGAAAACTTGAACAGTTTACTTTGTCAACTGATGATACAAATACAATGGAAAAGATGAAAGGAGGTAATTACTAATTACTAATTACCTTTTAACTTTTTTTCTCTCATATTGTTTCTGAAATCCTGAAATCATTCTTTGCTGTTTCTCCAAAAAAAAAAAACCTCTTCTGTGAAACGCTCATATGGATTACAGATGCATTGAGTGTCCCAAGCACAGGAGAAGATATGAACAATGGAGTTGTAATAAACAATGAGCCTGGAATGACCCTTCTCGATCACGTTGATGCAGAATGTGAACCCAGCAGATCTACATTAGATGCAGCTGCCATGTCTCCTAGTCGCTCTGGGGTCACCCCTGATTTGGAGGATGTGGGTCATAAAGTTTCTTCAGATAGCACACACGTCTTAGCATCAGAGGGTTTTTTGATTGGTGATCAAGCATCCTTAAAGCCTACAGACAGCTCGGGTGAAGTATTCTCACCTGGAAAAGTTGCTCCAAATATGACATACCAAGAGGAATCTCCTGGTAGGCCTGAGGTTATTGATGCTGAATCTAAGGAATTTCAGGAGCCAAAGGACACTGAGGCTCAGAATTCTTTTATCGGTGAAGAAATTACATCCATGGAGAAGTCTGTGCTTCAGCCATGCAATTCCCATGTAATTGAACCTGATAGGTCATCTCTTGAAGGTAATCGATTAGTGGGTTTGGGTTTGGCTTACTGTTGTTATGGTTATCTTATTCGAAAGGCCCAGAAGAGAGGATGTACCTTATTCTTCTTGGGCTCCCATTCTGTACATTGTTAATTTGAAAATTATTTAGTTAATCATTTGTGATTTTAGGTGAAAGCTGCCGAGCAATTGATGTGCAAAATTTGGAAAAGGGCGAGAAGCCTGATGCAGAAATGTCAGAAGACAGGCAGGATGGTTGCAGGGATTCTGGCAAACATTTGGATTCCACGTTGTCTAATGATATTTGCACAGAAAATTCTAATAGATCTCCCACCTCTGAATTCCCTGCACCTGAGAAGTTGCTTTCTGTACCAGAAGGCCTTACTGAAATACATGGTGACCACTTGCCGTTGGATTCTTCCCTGGACAAAGGGAACTTTGTTGAGGATGATGGAGGTGCTTCTGGAACTGATCTTATATCAGGGAAGAAGCGAACTTTCACCGAAAGTACTTTAACGGCCCAGAGTTTGAACTCAGCTGAGTCAGTCGCGGTGCACCGATCTAAGAGAATTACCGAATCCATTCCTGATGATGATGATTTGTTGTCATCTATTTTAGGTATTATTACTTCATTTTGAACACCTCTGACTAAGTGTGCTGATTTTTACAACCTTTTAATTGGTAGACTGGGATGTCACTGAGTAGATTTTTATGTTTCTTTAGTTGGAAGACGATCTTCAGTTTTGAAAATGAAACCATCACCTCCTGTGCACGAAACAATATCCTTGAAACGTCCGCGATCTGCACTTCGAGTTGGCACCTCAAAGAAGAAGGTGCTTATGGATGATATGATGGTTTTGCATGGAGAGTATGTATCGTATGCATCCATTTGTTTATTAATACTTGATGTGATATTTAAGTTGTGCTTTATTTTACTAATTTTCTTTATTTTGTTTGATTTTTATATCTAACTTTTCCTTCAAATTTGTGTTCATTTATTATGGATTTGAAGCAATCTCTCAATTTATACTTCCCATCAACTTTTAAATAATGAGAATTTTTACCAAAAGTAGGACAGGAAGTTTGTGTTTTGTTTCTAACTTTTTGTCTCAATATTTCAATAAAAAATCTGTTCTTTGTTTCAAAATTTTCTTATGGGGGGAGGTTGGGTTGGACCTGTTTTCTTCTTTTGCACATATTTCACCATTTATTTTAATTGGTTAAGTACTTACCTTCATTGTAGTAAATGGATCTTCTTTCCTGCTGAGACACTAACATGTTTAATATTATTTTTCAGCACAATACGTCAACAGCTTACGAGTACTGAAGATATACGCCGTGTTCGTAAAAAGGCACCCTGTACTCGTCCTGAAATTTCAATGATTCAGAGACAATCCTTAGAAGATGAAATTTTCAGTGAATCCATATATACAGGTATTTTGTTGTACTAGAAAATATTCATATTCATCACCTTCAGCAGTAGTTGAATTTTATCTAATCAATCTTTGTCAAGAATTAATTTTTGGACCTGGGGTTGAGTCAATGGTCAACGACCACTTATCATGAGAATACTCGTTTTATTATTATTATTAATTTTTTCTTGGACAAACATAACTTTTCATTCATATTTGAAAAGTCGTAATATGAACAGCACTAACCTCCTATTAGGAGCCTTACGATAGAAAATAGCTTCATCGTTAATTTACCAGAACATATTGCCATAACTGCCTCCAAACTTCGACGAATTACAGTTTGAGGGTAATTATAAATGCATTGATAATACTAACCCAGAAGAAGCATGGACTACTACAACTTCCCCCCATTTTTATGTTTTGTGAACCACCCAAACTCACTAATACTCTTTACTTCCTTAGGCAATCCATTCGATTCATTTGAAAATATCCATCATCATTGTTCTAGAATAGCCTCGTTTTTTTTTCCTTGGATTGCCAATACCCAAACCCTCACGCTCCGGTGGCATGGAGAACATATTCCACTCAACAAGATGTTTCAATGTCCCTCCCCATACCACTCCCAAAATAAATCCCTCATTTTTCTCTTGATCACCCTAATAATACTTTTTTACATCAAAAGTTTGTTTGTTTACATTTTTTCTTAATTAATTCCCTTAAAAAGAAATCAATGAGTATTTTGGCGTCTGTAATCTACTCCGAATGTCATTTTGGTTCTTGTTTTGGGTTGTTTTAGTTGCATTGTTTAAATAATCTCTCCTAGCTAGCAAGTTAAGAGAATAACTTTCTGAAGGGAAGGTCTTTTGTGTATGCTTTAGGTATCACCAAGGAACTATCCTCATTGCATACAAAAACATTTGACCTTAGTGAAATCAGGGTTTATGACAAGGATCCAGTCAGTGCTTCTACTGAGGCAGGAAACGATTTTGAGTCTGCTGTTAGGCCAAATACCACTGAAGAAAGTGCAACAGAAACAAACCCTGAAGCAGTGATTGGCAGAAATGATCTAGAATCTCAGCCTGCTCAGGTTACTATTGAGAACGAGTCGGCCAAAGAGTTGACATTGGAGTGTCCTGATCTTGATGTACAAGAGCAGCAAGTGACCTCAACTGAGAATGCTGGACTGGAACTCCTTGGAGAGATGGAAAAAATAGATACCGAAGTGGGAAATGTTGCCGATGCAGCAAATAGCTTTGACATTCAGGAGTTAGAGCTGCCATCCTTAGATATTGGGGATAAATATGATGATCCTAATGCTTCGTTGCAGATGGATATTTCTTGCTTTTCTCCAGAGAAGATGTTTGAATCTCAGCCTGGTGTTGAAGACACTTTTACAGTGGAGACGGAGAATATAGGTCTTGACCCTGTTAATGCTAATGATTGCACTGAGATCAGAGACAATGTTGGCTCTGAAAAATCCGATCACAATGTTTCCATTGTAACCTCACCTCGAGAAAATTGTGAATCCAATTATCTGACTCCTGAAAATGGTGACAAACCCGCAGAAAGCATCTTAGATGTTAAGTTAGGGGAGATTGAGGCGGATGGAGTAAATACAGCAGACTTTGTTTGTGATGAGAGGGATGCATCTTCTCTTTGTTTAATTGATGAAACTCAGATGGATCATCAATTTTCATCGGAATTTGAAATGGACTTCAAGAGTGCCTCCTTCAATGGAGGATTAAATCCAGACTATCCTGAAGAAACTGATTTGCTCAACATTGTGGACACAGAAATGACTACTCTTGACCATCCTATAGCAGAAGACCGTGGCGTATGTTCAACTTTCTTCCTTGTATTTTCTTTGTCATTATCAGTTTGTTATCAATGAACAATAATACCTTTTCTGGAAAATGCCCATTAAAACCTTTGCGTCCTGCTTAGGAAGGAGAAAGTTGCCAAATGAATTTGTGGGTTTCCCTTACTGTTTTACTAAATTAATGGAAAGGATCGTGTGTAATTTTACCAAATCAATACAGAACTTTTACAGATTTTTCTAAAACTGTACCCTTTATTTACTCTACTTGTCTGCTTCCCTTGTGTCTAAAACTTTCTTTGTTGTGCAGGACTTCGAGGATGCCTCAGTTGCTAATGATATAGGTTTGCATTTCTTTTGCTTATTTTAACATTCTTGATTAGATGCTGTCCTCTGTAACCTTAATTTGACTAGCAGATAATGTGTTCCCCATCGATTTCCTATACCGTTAAAAGAAAATAAATTCAAATTATCGGCCGTAGCTTGTTCACTTCTCTCTCCCCATGGAATTTCTACCCTCAATTATTTTCTGGAAATCATTATATTTTCTTTTAATCACTAATCTGCATTTCATTTCTCAAATTTCCCAAGGAAATCAGCTTCAGGGTTCTTTTAACTAACCTCCATCCTTGAGGCTCCAAATTAATGTTTTTACATAAGAGCAACTTTTGTTGTTATGTTTTCTGATTATATATTTTTTCTTTCCTACAGAATTTTTGAACGTAGATGATGATGTAGAAGAAGATGAGGATAACATGCAATATGCAGCAGATCCTACCTTTCTTGAAAACAGTGGATGGTCTTCCCGCACCAGGCATGTGTTCTATTACTATTATTTCTTCTCTCTTCTATTGTTTCTTAATGCTTGAGCTCGTTTACTTGAAATATAACTTCATGGGTTCACAAATGAGAGTTGCCTTTTTCTACATTTGGGATGTTAAAATTTTACACCTTTCAGCTTCACCAAATTTTATGTTTTTGGATCTAAGTTAATTCTAATACTTTATAATAAATTCACAGACTAAACTAAAGACTAAGGTGCTATTTCACGTCCTTATTTGAACTGGATCTGGTCTATAGATTATACTACTGTGCTCTTGAGTTTTAAAGTCTATAGTGCTATTTTGGAATAACATAAAAAATTCTCTTGATTTTTCTAAAGCCGATTCAGATTTTTAATATGGAGAATATGTCTAAAGGGATTGGCATGAGGTTTATTGGTCAACTGGGTTAGAGATCTCAACTTCGAATCTTTCGGTGAGCTTAATATCAAAAACTTTTGATATCTCCCAGGTCAAGGCCTTGGGGCGGGTGCGGGTGTCCTTGGGTATAGGGGAGCAAAGCTCCGACTCCCGGTTCTCTAAAGAATATGGAGAACATGTTTGGGCAGTTAATCTATTAAAGTATTGAGTTGGGTTATTATCAGTTCTAAAATTCTGTTGCATAGAAAACACACTCAAACAGCACTTGGATGGTAACTTTCATAGGCCTTTGGTTGGATATTTATTGTTTGTCCAACTAAGTTGTATACTGAAAAAAATGTAGATCGGTCAACCAATCTGCTGTTTTCATCATATAAGTCTTCACAGCAATATATGGGCTTTAAGCTAATAAATTCTGGTGTTCTTCAGGTTGTAATCGTGTACAGTTGATGTTACCGAATGTGTAGTTTTTATTCTAGAGATCTGATTCATTTAGCATACCGATTCCGACTCATATCTACATGTCTCTTTATTGCGAACCCATCTGAACCGATTATTGTTCCTTGTTACAGGGCTGTCGCCAGATATCTACAAAATCTCTTTGATAGGGAAAATGTACATGGGAGAAAGGTCCTTCACATGGATAGCTTACTTGTTAACAAAACGCGGAAGGAAGCATCGAGAATGTTTTTTGAGACACTGGTACGTTGTTTCGAGCCCTTATAACTTTTATATCTTGTCAGCACCAAGGAATGATTACAAACTCTGGTCTTGGCAATTGAAAAAATTTATTATGCAAGACTCTTTTTGTTACTTCCAAAAATTAGTTTACAGAGTTTGAGAGATCTATAATCACTCTCAATACGCAAACAAGATATTCGGTTGGATTCAGTTCACATCTTGCAGGATACGGAATCTGCCCACCGACGTCTTCTAGTTTTCGCATCTATGAGAACATGCCATTTATTTTTTGTGCATAGAACAATTTGTTCTTCTGGTTCATTTATGTGTAAAATCATATCACTCTTGCTGCAGGTTCTCAAGACAAAGGATTACCTCCATGTAGAACAGGAAAGACCCTTTGACAACATTAGTATAAAGCCAAGAATAAATCTCATGAAATCAAGTTTCTGATTTACTTAGGAAAAGGCAGAAGAGATACACAGCTGGGGGAAAACCAAAAAACCAAAAAAATGAAAACAGAAAGGCTACGGTAGATGTTAGTTTGGCCGATGCTCCGCTCGGGATGTCGATAGCTCTTTCTATCACCAGAAAACTCCCCTTCCCAACAAAATAATCTTTTGTTCTCTCTTTCCTTCTTTTTGTTATTATTATTTATATATTGCCTTGTTTTAAGCTAGACGTTTATGTAAGTGGGTCAGTGAGTCAACAGTCTAGTCGGAGTCGCGGTCGGGTCGGGTCATCGTATATCAATGTGTTTATTGTACCCAACTTCTTTTGTATTATGACAGATACTCTCCTCATGTATATATTATCTGTAAAAATAGTCCCTTGCTATTGAAGATGCTGATTTATTTGTTAGAATCCTTGTGGACTCTGCTGGAATTTGGAGGCTTTGCTGCAAAATTTTCACTGTAAATATGAGAAAAATGTAGCTGTGAACTTGTGCAGAATAGTCTTCAACTTCTATTTTAGCTACTCTGATTTAGTTGCGTAGATTTTTTGTTTCTTTATTTTTATTTTTTTTATGAGCTTCATCTATGCTAACTTGTTTTACAGATCAGATTAATTTAGCATATGATATAACAAAACAATTAAATGCTGTTTTGTTTTAATTATATCATATGCTAAATTAATATTTTTTTTGTATAAATTATGCCTGTTTTTTTTTTATAATTTCATTGGAAAGTTTTTCATATCTTGAGAAAATATATTTAAATTCTTAATTAAAATTAATTTTTGAATTATTTTCCGCTAAAATTTGGCTTATGTTTATAAAAATCATATAACAAAATAAATCAACACGGTGAAAGTAATGTTTTGAAACTTATTTTAATTTTTAGAAATAGAAAAATACAAATAAAACGGTTAACAGGGCCTAAATTAGGCAAAAATGGTTTGGTTTTCATCTCAGGCGCTATTTAAGTTGGATGAACAATTCTTTGTATTTTTTTTTAATTTGATTTCTGTGGTTTAAAATTTCAAATCCGATCTATTATGTTATATTTTTGTTGATTAATTTCAAAATTGGCCCATGATAAATTTATATTAGAAATTTTGCTAATTCATTCAGTATAATGTTGTGTAAGCTAATCAACCATTAAGGAGAAGAGATTAATTGGAAAATGTTAAAAAAATAAATAAAATAATTTTGATCTTTTTAAACAATACAGAATAAAGTGAGTTAAAAAACTATCTAGTTTAATCACTTTTTTTCTTAGTAATCATATCTCTCAAATGTTTATAATATAATAGTACAACTTTAAATGTTTTTTTTTTTTGGACAATCAATTTAAGTATTCCTTCAACAAGGATTTTTTGACCAATGTAATTATAAAAAAATATTTTTATGTATTATTAAACACAGTATATTTTTAAAATCCTATTTTTAGTCATCTAAAATCGAGAAAGCTAAAATAATCATACTATAAATGAGTAATTCTTCCAAGTTCTTATAAAAAAAAAATTAATCAAAAATATATTTTTTTAAAAAAGTTATCTAAATTGACACATATTTAAACAATATTTTTATTATTTGATCAATCAACTAATATATATTAGAAGATTTAATTATATTTCTAGTGTTTATGAAACTTAATTGGATTATT